GGCATGTTAAGTCAGCCATGCCCAAGATCTCCTAACCTGCTCTATAGAGTTTAGTGATTCATCACTTCAATACAACACCCAGTGCTCAGCACAAGTGCCCTCCTTTTTTTTTTTTTTTTAAGATTTTATTTATTTATTTGACAGAGAGAGACACAGCGAGAGAGGGAACACAAGCAGGGGGGTGGGAGAGGGAGAAGCAGGCTTCCCGCTGAGCAGGGAGCCCGCTGCAGGGCTCCATCCCAGGAACCTGGGATCATGACCTGAGCCGAAAGCAGACGCTTAACGACTGAGCGACCCAGGCTCCCCCACAAGTGCCCTCCTTAATACCCATCACCCATATAACCCAGCCTCCTGCCCGCCTCCCTTCCAGCAACCTCTCAGTTTGTTCTCTGTAGTTAAGAGTTAAAACTGGTTTGCTTGTCTCTTTTTTCCCCCCATGTTCATTTGTTTTGTTTCTTAAATTCCACATAGGAGTGGAATCATGGTATTTGTCTTTCTCTGACTTATTTTGCTTAGCATACTATAGTTCCATCCACGTTGTTGCAAATGGCAAGATTTCATTCCTTTTTACGGATGAGTAATATTCCAGTGTATGTGTGTATACCACATCTTCTTTATCCATTCATCAGTTCATGGACATTTGGGTTCTTTCCATGATTTGGCTATTATTGATAAGTCTGCTATAAACATCAGTCATGTATCCCTTCAAATCAATATTTTTGTATCCCTTGGGTAAATACCTAGTAGTGCAATTGCTGGGTCATGGGGTAGTTTTTTAGGAACCTCCATACTGTTCTCCAGAGTGGCTGCCTCAGTTTGCATTCCCACCAACAGTGCAAGAAGGTTCCCCTTTCTCCACATGCCTGCCAACATCTGTTGTTTACGGTGTTTTTAATTTTAGCCATTCTGTATGTCATGTCATTCTTAATCTTATTCTAGTAGATTTTTAGTTTTCCAAATAACCCTGTAAGTTAACAGTATGTTGCCCTTTGATCCTTAGTTTGTTCCCCAGAGTGTTGGTTGACTTTATGTTAATTAAAGGTGTGTTCTTGCTGGCAGTCGAGCTGGTAACTCAGAAGCAATTTTTTTCTTAAGAAATAATGATAAAGAGCAGGTCATCAAACTTTTTCTTAAAGGGCCAAATAAAATCAAATTTTAGACTTTGTAGGCAGTGGTGTCTCCTGTACATACTGAACTCCATAGGACATAGTGAGAGAGCAATACATAGACAATACCTAAAGGTATGGGTGTGGTTGTGTTCCAGTAAAACTACAAAAACAGGTGGAAGGCTAGATTTGGCCTCCAGGCCAGTAGTATACTCATCTCTGGTAAAGAAGATAGTTGAAGGAATATAGTAATAAATTGGACACATAATCTATATTAGCCTAAACATATTCATATAAAACAGTATTTTGTTTTTTAAAAATTTTGTTCACAATAGTAAAATGTACTTCTTGTAAAATTTTCATGATCTTATATTCTTATAGAAATTGAGGAGGCACTGTTACCTACCCCCTAGAGTTCACTATTGTTAACAAAATCCTACATATTTGAATGTGTATGGCAAATGGATGAAGAGCAGAATTACAGAAGTGTGAGAAAGTGAAGGTATAAAATGTTAGAGATAGTGCCATGCTGGTAGGAGATAATGAATCAGGAGAAATATATTCCTTCGGCCTTTTTGCTTGCTTGTTTTTTTTGTTTTTGTTTTTCTTTTCTTTTTTTTTTTTTTTTGCTTGCTTGCTTGCTTTAAAATGGCCATGTCCTTGTCTCCCTCCTCCTGAGGGTAGATCTTTGTACACAGCAGGGCTATAATGTAACAACTTTGCAGGGTAGATAGACACAAGGGAAACAAACAGTACAAACATGTTGCAAGAGGAGGTGGAAACCTGGGTATAGAAGAAGAGCCATATGTACAACAATGGTTACTGACTATCTTATTTTTCTGCGTTGTAACACATGTTTAATGGAGGTTTGTGGCACTTGTGCCATTGCTCTTTGGTATTTTGAACAATGTCAACACATCTAAATAGTGCATCTATCTACTTATTGCATCTAAGTATAAAGTCTGTCTCCCTGACATGGCATGAAATACCCTAGGCTATCAAATACCAAATCACTATGGTTAGAGCCGTGCTGTCCAACACCAGAGCCATTACTTGGCCCCAGGGGTTATTAAGAACTCGAAATGTGACTAATCAAAATTAAGATGGGCAATAAAGGTAAAATACATACTGGAATCTGAATACTTAGTACCCCCCCCAAATTTAAAATGTTTATTAAAGAATTTAAAATTGATCACATACTGAAATAAAGCATGTGGGGATGTACTGGGTTAAATTTAAATAAAATATGTAAAAGTAGTTAATATATAAAATTAGTGTTTCTCTTTAAACTTTATTTATTTATTTTTTTAATATTTTATTTCTTTATTTGAGAGAGCATGAGAGGGGGGAGGGTCAGAGGGAAAAGTAGACTCCCTGCTGAGCAGGGAGCCCAATGTGGGACTCGATCCTGGGACTCCAGGATCATGACCTGAGCCAAAGGCAGTCGCTTACCCAGGCGCCCTCTTCGAAATTTTTTTAATATGGCTACTAGAAAATTTAAAATTACATGTGTGGCTAGTATTTTATTTCTGTTAGCACTGGTTTAGAGACTAGTTAATGTAAATTTGAAATATATTTTTCTTAAACAGCATTAAATATAGTTTAAACTATCAGAAATATACCTCACATACACCATGCGCTGATTCTGTGTTGGCTTGTTAACCTAAGTATTACAGATACGTTTGTCCCAATAATAAAAAGTCTTAAAACTTTTACAAAGCTTTCTAGTGAACTGCAGTTTTAGGCAGTAAAACTTAAGACCTCTTTCAAGATCCATCCATTCTTTCATTTTACTCTGCACCATTGATGACCACTTACTGGGTATATCTGTTGTCAGTCTCTTAGCTAATAAATTGTCTATCTGGTATAGATTTTCTTGTTTATGAGAACCATATTACATTCATCATTTCTCTTTCTGGTATTTCTCCCTACAACCCTACTTTTCCTTTATTACCTAACTCTTAATACCACTTCCTCCAAAAAACTGTTCTAGTATTTCTTGATCATTTTTGCCTGTCTCTCCTTCCCTTCTTCTCAACTCCCAAAGGATATCTACCTATCTTTTAATCACTTTGTAATTTTAATTTTAATGATATACATCCATTATCTCCTCTACTGAAAGGTACTACTCAAAGGATCTTTGTACTGAATTAGGCTTATGTAGCTTGGCATGTGCATCTACCTCTGTAGATCTCATTTATGTTAGGATATGATTAATTTCTCTATTTCCATAGATTTCATTTTTGTTTTTGTTGTTCTACAGATGAATATACAAATGAAACTATGTTAAAGTACACCAAAGTATAGAGGAAGGAAAGACATTTACCCCATATCTTACCACTTAGTGGCAACCATTATTACCCTTTTTGTGTACGTCTAACATTTTCTAAAATTTGTTGATTATAAAAATAATACAAGTACATGCTCATTATACAAATTCAAGCAATATAGACATATTCAGAATAACAGATTTTCCTTTTCCTTCCTTTGCAGTCCTTCCCTTTCTCTATAGGGAACATCTGTTTATAGTATTTGTATAAGTACACATTTTTGTTATTCTAATTAATGAACATGGGATTGTGTTATTCAGTGATTTGAGTTTTTTCTATTTAATGTACCTTAGAAATCTTTCCATATTATGGATCTCTTGCATTTTAAAAGTGACTGGATAGAATTTTTGAAAAGAAATAAATGCTCATATTAAGAAATTCCAACAGTGCAGAAAAGCACTCAGTATAATGGTCCCCCAGGCCCATCCCTACTCTGTAGCTATTGCCTTGTTTTTTGTATAACATTCTAGAAATCTTTTATGCTTCTTAGGCTATCTTTCTTTTCCTGCCTTCCTTTCTTTTTCTCTCTTTAAAGTGGGACCATATTATATATATTGTTTTGGTAAGGTTTTACTTTCAAAAATATAGGAGGAAATCAAACTGGAAAGTGGTTTTTTTTTTTCCTGTGAGCATGTTAAGAACTCTCATACTTTTTAATGCCTATGATTTTTCATTATATGAAGTACTGTAATTTACCTAAACTTTGTCATCATTAGATGCTTAGATTTGCCAGTTTTTCACTATTATGTTAGAGCTTTTTATTTATTTATTTTTTTTTTTAAAGATTTTATTTATTTATTTGAGAGAGAGAATGAGAGATAGAGAGCACGAGAGGGAAGAGGGTCAGAGGGAGAAGCAGACTCCCTGCTGAGCAGGGAGCCTGATGTGGGACTCGATCCCGGGACTCCAGGATCATGACCTGAGCCGAAGGCAGTCGCTTAACCAACTGAGCCACCCAGGCGCCCTATGTTAGAGCTTTTTAAAGTTCATACTTAAGGGGCGCCTGGGTGGCTCAGTAGTTGGGCATCTGCCTTCGGCTCAGGTCATGATCCCAGGGTCCTGGGATCAAGCCCCTCATCGGGCTCCCTGCTCCACAGAAAGCCTGCTTCTCTCTCTCCCACTCCCCCTGCTTGTGTTCCCTCTCTCGCTGTGTCTCTCTCTGTCAAATAAATAAATAAAATCTTAAATAAATAAATAAAGTTCATACCTAAGTGCTTAAATTGTCCCTAGTGTTTTGGCTGCTTTGGAACAAAATTTTGAAGATTAGAAGAAAAAAGAAAGGTTGAGTTTATTTTCAATTTCACTCCCAATTTCAGAAGTGATGGAAATTAAAATCCAATTTTAGCTGAATGTACCTTAAAATTGCAAAATATAAATGTCTAGTTTAAATATACTTTTTCTTAGGTTTGTATTAGTGTGTAAGTTGACCAGTTAATAAATCCTTCCTTGTTCTATGATTCTATATAAAATTTTGCAATGAGGACACAATCCTTTATCAGCTTTTAATGTAAAATTTGTGAAATGATAGGTAATGAATGGATTTTTGTTTTTGTTTTTTAATCAGTGACTTTTTTGAACGAACCATTCTGTGCAACAGTCTTGTGTGGAGTTGTGCTGTGACGGGTAGACCTGGACTGACCTATCAGGAAGCACTTGAGTCAGAAAAAAAAGCAAGACAGAATCTTCAGAGTTTTCCAGAACCACTAATTATTCCAGTTTTATACTTGACCAACCTTACCCATCGTTCACGCTTACATGAAATTTGTGATGATATTTTTGCATATGTCAAGGATCGCTATTTTGTTGAAGAAACCGTGGAAGTCATTAGGAACAATGGTGCAAGGTAAAGTACTTTTTAATTTTTTCTTTCGTTACGCATACATTCACATTACTTAAAATTCAAAGTACACAAAAAGGTAAACTGAGGAAAGCTTCCCTTCTCTCCTCCCACTACTCTCTCACTCTCCCCACAGACAGCCCTAATGTTAGTATATTTTTCCCAAGTTTATATCTATACAGACCACCAAAGACAAATACCTATGCATAGGTATTTGTACACATGTGTGCATGTGCACACACAGTCTCCCATCCCTTTTAATGCCAAAGGTAACATACTTGATACCTTTTTCATTTAAAATATCTTGAAGATCAGTCCATTGCTTTATGAACCGCCTTTCTTCTCTTTTTTGTTTATTGTATAGTAAGTTCCATTGTATGGAAATTGCATCTTTATTTCCAAGTTAAAAAAAAAAAACCTTAAAGATACCTATTTTGTCCTCATTATGTTACCTGATAGTTTAAATATGCGTGTATTTCTTGCTGGGTTTTAGTAGTTCCTCTGATAATATGAGGACTGAATTTTATATTCTCCACTGAGTTCTCTCTTACCCAGCTCTTCAAGAAAAAAATGAATTTTTCATATGCAAAAATTTTAAATGGCATTAAGTTAAAAATTATTACTGCTTTCCTAAAGTCTTAAGTATTTGTAATTGGCTAGTCACTAATATTTATCATAATAATCTTTATTTGCATTAAAACTTTTTATAGCCTCTTGGAATTATATGTAGTATCCTGTGTTCTTTCACTTACTGTATTGTTTTCAAAGTTTATCCACATTGTAGCATGTATCAGTACTTTATTTTTATTGATAAATTCTACTTTATGGATCTATCACATTCTGTGACAGACATTTAGGTTGTTCCCACGTTTTGGCTATTATAAATAATTTTGTTACAGGCATGCATGTACAAGTTTTTGTGTGAACGTATGTTTTTAGTTATCTTGGGTATATACCTAGAGGTAGAATTGCTAAGTCATATGGTAACACTATATTTAGCGTTTGAAGAACCTCCAAACTTCCAGAGCAACTGCATCATTTTACATTCCCACTGGCAGTGTATGAGAGTTGCAGTTTCTCCACATCCTCACCAAGACATATCTATGGACAGTTTGTTGTTGTCCATCTTTTTTATTTTGCCATCCTTGTGGGTGTGGAATGGTATCTTTTGGTAATTTTCATTTACATTTCCCTAATGACCGTCAAGCATCCTTTCATGTGCTTACTGATCATTTATATATCTTCTTTGGAGAAATGTTTGTTCTGGTCCTTTGCCCATTTTTAAATTGGGTTATTTATCTTTTCTTTACTGAGTTGTAAGAGTTCTTTGTGTTTTTGGATACAATCCCTTATATGATTTGCAAATATTTGCTTCCATTTATGAGTTGTCTTTTCACTTTCTGGATGGTACCATTTCTAGTACCATCTCCCTTTGCTTTTAATTTTTGTTCCTACTTATTAATAGCATATACCTTTTGTTTCAATCTCTGGTAGTACCTACCAATGGTCCTAAAGACTGCTTCATCCACCAGAATTAGATTTACTGGAAAGAGCATGCTGAATTACAGAGAAATGCAATAGAGGCCATTCTTAAGTTGAATTAGTCAGTATAGGTACTCTGGATCTTCTCACCCCAGTGTTCTTTTCTTATTGTCTCATTTACCTTTAGGTTTTCCTTCCCTCTTCCTTGTTGCGTTTTACAAATATAGGTTAGGTGCTTCCCTCCTTACCAAGACTTTCTGTTTTGGAAATAAGCAGTCAGCTAACAGATTCTTCTAGAGATCCTTTGTCACTGGTATGGTAGAATAGCAAAGAGAACACCAGACTACTTGACTGAGGCAACAGTTGAGCTCTTTACCCTCCCAGTCCTTATTACCACCCAGCTTGCCTGCCGGTTGTGTAGACATTTGTTCTCTACTACTTCCTTAGAGCCTACAGAAGTGAGAGAATCAGTGGTCTTATGTAAAGAACACTAAACTAGGATATTATATTATATTATATTATATTATATTATATTATATTATATTAT